CTCTGAGCGAAGGGTAGTGATGACCTATTGAAGAAGATCTTTAGAAGAAGCAGTCAACACAATATCATCAACATAAAGAAGTAGATAAGTCGGGTGTACGCCGCGATGATATATAAATAATGATGAATCAAATTTGTTGTTGGTGATGCCAAAACTGGTGATAAACTAAGCAAACTGATGGTACCATGCGCGGGAACCTACTTGATTTCGTAGGCCGAGGTACAAGTACCCAAGTTCAATTGGAAATAAGTGCATTATCTTCTTCTTTCATGGCATTAAGCCAGTTTTGATCACGAAAGGCTTTAGAATAGTTGGTTTCGAGGAATGGGAGAGGAAAAGATTTCGATGTGAAGATTTAGCTTCTAGATAGCCCTTTGTCATTTAGAATATTTTCCCGCACCGGACTCAATAGCACCACACAAATAAATATACAAAGTACAAAGGGCTATCTATGATTAGGCCATACAACATTGGGCCATACACAAGAATACAATACAATGAAACATATTATACACTATAATACGATTTAATATGTCTAATGAAAGTACATTAAAAAAATTTCTTTCGTAACAGTATTCATATAAAAGTTTTTATTTCCAAACAACATTTATACTTTGATGTATACTTTGTATTAAGAAAAGGCGACATGTATATCATAAAACCATAGCTATGGAAAAACTATATAGTAACGTAATCAGGTGTTACATTACACTGCACAAAAATTATAAATTAAGCAGCATCTATGCATTTACTACTCGTACATGCATAAAAAATTATGAGACATGAAAGTAACGACAAGTTATATATAGCTTAGGATTTTTCAAATAAAGTCGAACGGTTTAGCAGTGAATGATTCAAAAGCTTTGCTAAATGTATATATTCAATGACAAAATTACCATTTTCTTGACGATTTTAAGTAGAATGAAATATTTCATGTTGATAAAATATCTTAATGAACATGTTTGTTAAGGTTGCTCCATGAGGTAGTTTGCCTTTTACTCAACTAACCACAAAGCAATGCTTTTTCAAGTGAAATAGCTTAAAGCTTGGAGATAACTTTCATGCAACAATCCAAGAGGCTAATGAGTTAAAAGTATTTCAAAGAGATGAGGTCGGGGTCTACAACTTTGGGAATTAAGGAAATGTAGGATACATTGCATCCTCTGCTAATAATAACTATAGCCATAGTCGATACAGTGGGTCTGAGGACTAAAAGAAAGATGGGACCAAAAAAATCATAAATATAATAAAAATTAATTCGAAAATCGACACATTGTTATCAAATTCATAAAATTTACTATTAATTATGAATATTAAAAAACACAAATATGATCATAATAATACAAAAACAATTAATTTAAAGAAAAAAATAATCCGTCTAACATTTTTAGATAAGTTAATTTTTTATTTTATATAAATATATACTATATGGGAGAATTTCATATATACCCTTATTAAATGTTTAAATATCATATTTATCCGACCTAAACTCTAAATATAATATTTGTCATTAAGAGTTTTAAAATATCGTATTTGCATAAATCTATTTTTTAAATAAATTTTAGTATTTAAGAAGCATTTTTATATTTTAAAATCATTAAAAATAAAAAAAGTAACAAAATGGACCACAATACCCTGGTTTTTAAGATTTCTTAGCATCATCGTTAATATGTAACCTTTACCGTGTCTTATTTTTTTGGCCTTTTGCCAATTTTTCGTTGCAATCCAATAATTATGTAACTTTATGGTTTTTATTTGTTAATTGATTATTTGTTAATTAATTATGAGCCATTGATCTATTTTGGGTGTGTTCGGCATGGAGCGTTTGTAAGCGTTTGAAAGCTTCTAGCGTTTGATAAAACGCTCCGTTTTGAATAGAAAGTCTCGTTCGATACTACAAGCTTTTAGCGTTTAGTTTGAACAAAACGTTTCAAATCCAAATACTACTTCATGTAGCGTTTAACAAAACGCTACAAGCTACAAGTTACTTGCTACCAGTTAGCAGGGCCGTCGCAAATCAATTTGAGGCCCGAGGCAAAAACTAAAAATGAGGCCCCTCAAACTTTAATAATCAAAAACAATAATACAATGATACAGAGACAAGTACATGAGCATTTGCTATTAAATTAAATATATATGGTATGAAAATAATACAATGATACAATAAACCATTAGGTTAGCACAAAAAACTAATGACAAAGAAGAAAACACATAATCAAACCATTTTGAAAAAACTGTCACTTTGGTGTCTGAAAAAAAAAATGAGTGTTTGGAAAAAAAAATCATAGTTTGGTGAAAAACAGATAGGTTAGCATGATTTTCTATGGCAAAACTATAAATAATAGTTATTATATATGAAAAGATGATGCAAGGTAGAAAATCTTTTATATATATATATATATATATATATATATATATATATATATATATATATATATATATATATATATATATATATATAAAAGTATCCATGATAATGGCTAGAAAAACATCAAAATTTTAAATGAAATAAATGTTTGAGTGGTTTGTAGAAAAAACAAAAAATCTAGGAATAATTTCTATAACTTGGATGATTTTTGAATAACAAAGAAGAATGAAGGGACTATTCCTGTAATTTGGATTGAAAACTAAATACGGTAAAACCATTAGTTTTTAAAGGTGTTAAAAAATAAAATAAAATAAAAAAGACCCCAAAAGATTCGAATCTGAGTGTTTCTCATTACTTGATCCGTTACTAACCATCTAGCCTAAGGGAATGTTGCATAAATTTTAAACACAATTCACATATATAAAGTAGAAGACAGATATAATTTTGGGGCCCCAAACCGTAACGAAGCCCGGGATCATCGCCCAGCTTGCCCGCCCTATTTGGCCGACCCTGCCAGTTAGTTTGACGAACGCGCCTTTTGTTGTCTTCATCTTGAAGCCAATGAACCTTTTGCCCGATTCAACATGTGTCACAAGCATTAGTCTCTTAGTAGCCTCAACCCTTGAGAATACTATAATTATCCAGATTCATTATCCAATAAAAAGAAGAATACAATTTTAAAAAAAAAAAAAAAATCCTTCAAAGTTATGGTTACTTTCCTTCGTGAATGGGACGTGAACAGAGAAGTACACCATATTTGACAAGCTCACTATGAGGGCTTTCAAAAAGCATAGTTTCGAGTGTCTAAAATGAAAAGTTAAAATGCACAGTCAAGACAAGTGATTTCGAATACAGGATTGATAAATTTGCATAAAAAACTTTTGATATGAAACAACGACCAGAGCAATAAAACCTCGCGTGAATGATTCCTTCTATTTATAAATGAAGGGTATTATCGTTTATTTAGTTGTTTTTTAGTTTTAATGATTTAAAATTATAAAAAATGATTATTAAATAATAAAAAATATTTAAAAAAAATAGATTTGGGTAAATTTGATATTTTAAAACATTAGGGTAAATATGATATTTAAAATTTGATATTTTAAAACATTAACAAGGGTAAATTTTAACATGTCAGTCAAAATGATGTTTTATATCGGTACCGCTTTTACCTTCCTAAAACACGCAGCCATTAATGGTTGATTCTGTGCGCCCTAACTTAATAATTTTGGAATTAGCTAGATTTACTTAACAAAAACTACTAACTTTTTTTCTAGAAGTACATACGGATATACATCACAACATAATCACAAAATTCGAAAACCATTACAAATATCTTCTAATATGTTAATTGTTTCTTTTGTAAATTTACTTAGAATATTTAACTTTAAAAAAATAGTAATACGTTCAACAAAAAGGTTACAAACTTTCAAAGGCAATCAGTTATAGCCGTTCAAAGATTAAAAAAGGGGATAATAACTTAAAATAGTAATTTTTCGATTTATACATATTTGGTAACTGAGTTTTTTTTCGTCCACATTTACCCCTTCAACTTGTTAAATTGTACACATTCAGTCTTTATGACCGGTTATTCCAGGTTAGCCGAGAAAAATGATTTAATAGGGAATATATTTTTTATTTTGTATATATTTAGTCCTTAATATTTTTGTACACATTTAGTCCTTAATATTTTTTTTGTTTAACAAAAAAAGTAATTTTTGTTTTTGTACTCATTCGGTAGTTATGAATGATTTCCTCAGGTTTTTTCTCACGATATCTTACGTGAGACAACTATTAATGAAATGTGTGGGGCTATTGATATTTATGTGTAGCGTCTGATTTTCATAACAAAAAATTTTCATTTTTAAATAAGGCAAAATTCCTTAAATATAAATCCATTATTAAGAAAAATGTTTGTTCCAAAATACATTTTTGGAAAATCAGAGTAATATAAGAAACACGAAATCCTCAATACTGTTGATGAGTGTGTACACTCAAGCCTTCAAACAATTTGGTAAGCACAAAGTTTAGCCAGTTTTCCCCAAAATACTCGATACAACAAACGTATTATCATGCATAACGAGCACACACTCATCAGACTGGAATACCTTTGCCCAATTAGTCATCAGACTGGAATGCCAACATACAACAGATCCACTTAGTCATCGGACTAGAATACCTAGGTTTTGTCGGCATGTTGCCTTAACCCAACCACTCTTCTCGAGCCTCCGTGCCTACGGCTTACAGCCGGCCCGCACCAGGTATCTTGGCCTACAATATATAGCAGGATCACCTCAACCTATCCCACCACCATATGGCTATCCCATGTAAGATGTCGTGAGAAAAACCTAAAGAAATCATTCATAAGTATTGAATAAGTACAAAAACAAAAATGATTTATTTTACAAAAAAAAATATTTAGGACTAAATGTGTATAAAAATATTAAAGACTAAATATGTATAAAGTGATAAATATATTACCCTATTAAATCATTTTTACCGACTAACATGAAGTAACAATTATAAGGATTAAATAAGGATCAAATGTGTACAGTTTCACAAAAAAATAAATATGAACAAAATAAAGTGATATACAAATAAAAAATTATATTACCCTTTTAAAAATTATCCCATTAAAACAAAATCAACATATATGTCTCTCGCCACCAACTCACAAAAGTTCTTGCTTCTCGGAATATGGCGGCAGTAGGAGCTTCGTTCAACCATGTCTCAAGAGAATCCTCAGATATCGATCGACTTGCGAACTTCTACCAAGAGGTCATAATTAACATCTATTAACTCCAATTTTTCATTACATTTACTGTAACTCTATTTCGATTTATCGCAGATATTCGGATTTGAACGAATAGAAAGCCCTAAATTCGAATTCAAGGTAATATGGCTAAGGCAATCACCATCTTTCTGTCTGCATCTAATCGAAAGGAACCCAAACACGAAGCTACCAGAAGGTCCATGGAGTGCTACGGATGCTGTTGCGGATACTAAGAACCTTTTCAGAGGCCATCATCTTTGTTTCACTGTTTCTAATTTTGACTCCTTCGTCAAAACCCTCAAGGTATCTTATTCTTACTCTCATCGCTATAAAAAGTTTCACCTTAAACACTATTTTAATTAATTCAGTTTCAATTATCACCAATTTCTTTTCAATTCAGTGACTTATTTAGATTTTTAATTAACGTATGATTAATTTTGTTAGAATACCGATATATGCGTATGCTAGAATTGGTGAAATTCCCCTTTTTGTAAAAATTGGTAAAGATGTCAATGGTTGCATAAATGGGTAATATGTCCATTTTGATGCATAAAGTAGAGGAAGTATAATATTGTAATAAGAGTAATGTCTGAATAAAATAATCTAATTTAAAGTCTTAACAAGGCTTTGGAAATTACAATTTATTTAAGTATTGATAGATCAAAGTTACTATACTTTTGGAATCCAGGAGAAAGGTATTGAGACACATGAGAGGATTCAACCGAATGGGAAAACGAAGCAAGTTTTCTTCTTTGATCCTGATGGTGAGTTTTACAAATATATGCATGAAAATGAGTATGTAAAAAAATTTAAAAGAGGATTTCTAAAAAAAAAGCTAATGTTGATCTATAATTTTTAAAGTTTAAACTAAAAAAAATGTTTCTATTATCATGTGTCCATATCCGTTTGCAGGTAATGGATTGGAGGTTGCTAGCCAGTGATGATCAAACATTATGTATTTTAGTCGTGTAAAAAAAAAAAAAAAAAAAAAAAAACTAAAATTGTATGATATATGGTTAATAGGAGGTTAAATATTTCTCCATAACATGTTTCTTAATGTTGTTACCGAAGTTGAAGTGTTTAAACGTAATATGTGTAAATTAGAACTCTCACAATGTGATTGAGAGCTATACATATCTCACAAAGTAATTGTACTACAGATGATTGGATAATTTATTCATGCTTACATGTTATGGTTTTTTTTCCTCATGTTTATGTATGTTAAAAGGTTACACACCATATTCATGGATGCCCTTGTATCATGGGTAAATTGGGTATTTCACAACGTAGGGAGGTAAAGCATAATATCACTGAAGTAAAAGATATAATGGTCCGACTTAAAGCTTAGATCTTATTTATTGATTATTACTTTTTTACTATGTTCATTAATTGGTTCTTTGTTTGTACGTTTTTAACTCAGAAAGTTCGTTTTTAACTCAGAAAGTTCATAATGTTTGTTTTTGTTGCGCATTTGATCCCTACTATTTGTTTTTTTTACGCGCTTGGTCCCTATCTTACCTAAAAGACTATTATTTAAATAGGAAAAAATAGTGGGATATGTAAGGTAAGATGAGGGGAATGAAGTTTGGGGTGTGTTTATTTAAATAAATTAAAAAATCAATGGCAAAATAGTCTTTTTAGGTAAGACAGGGACCAAACGTGTAATAAAAACAAACTGTAGGGACCTTCCGAGTTAAAAAAATAAGCTAGGAACCAAACATGCAAATTACCTTATACCATAGGGACCATTTGTGTAATTTACTCTAAAATAAAACAAATACAATGCCTATTTTAAACGTTTCCAAAAGTTGGATAAAAATTTAGAAAATCCATCCAAATAATCGCACATTTCCGATTTTTTTTATTAACGACAGAAATTCATTTAAATGGAAACTAAGAAATAGCTAGAAAAGAAGGATTAAAGAGTAATGGCAACCATTCACCATTGGATTTTAATCCAACGTGTCCACTGTCTAACATAAAAAGTTATTTTAAAGTTTCTAAATGCTAACCGGTTAGAAGAAAAAGAAAAACATTTTCGAAGATCATATTTCTATGTAACTTTTTGTTTTCAAAACATTGCATTCCGCTTATTTCAAAGCTAGCACCCAAATTATAGTCATGCAAATGGGTTCGATCACCAACTTTCTAAAACTCACCTTGTGTTGATTACATCAATCTATATCTATTTCACAGGGTTAATGTGAAATGAGCTCTCCATATATGTCATTTGTTTTACAACATATATTTTATAATTTTCTTTTTAGTTTAACAATTGTATTAGAAAGAGTAAATTACAGTTTCGGTCCCTGAGGTTTGGTTATATTCTCATTTTTAATCTAATTTTTGAAATTTTGACAAGATGCATCCATATTGATTAAAAAATTCAACTATACATACTCAATCCATTTAAAAGACCATTTACCCTTACCTTCATATTTTTATTTCACTTTTATATATATATATATATATATATATATATATATATATATATATATATATATATATATATATATATATATATATATATATATATACTTGTTTATTTTTTTTATCGCTTACATTTTAATTTATTTATTTATATAATTTATGATATATTTTTTGAAATTTTATTCGAATATATTTTTAATATATTTTTTTTTATATTTTGTTAGTTTATATTTTTTTGAATAGTTTTTCTAGTGTTACACACACACACACACACATATATATATATATATATATATATATATATATATATATATTTATATGTTTTTTTGAATATATTTTTTAATGTTTTTTTTTTATCTTTTGTTTTTTTTATTATTTTGTAAATCTTTTTATAAATATTTTTTGTATAAAAAATATAAAAAAGTTTGTTAAAGATGAATATGATTAACACATATTAGGTATTAAATTACTTATTTTCATAGGGTTACAGTATAGGTTAACCAGAATTCGAAACGACTGTCAGTAGCTTCGAGTTCAATTTTTTTAGTTTTACAACTTTTTTAACATTTTGTTCCGAATGACGAATGCTAATCAGAATTCTTATAACTCAAACACACATGTCAAAGTTTTCGTGTTCGTTTTTTTTTAGAAATTTTGTTCGTTTTCGAGTTATATTGTTTCCAATTCATAATTATATAACTTGACACTTGTTTCCGAATTTCGTTTAGCCTATCTTGTAGCATTTGAATCCTTAAGATACTTAACTTATTGATTTCTTGCATTTTAGAGGAGCGTCACATCGTGAGCCATAGCAGTCACGATGTGAGTGACCATTGACTGTTTGACCCGCATTCTTGAATCTTACGACGTGAGCATGAGGGATCATAATGTAAGCCAGACCTTATGACTTAAAACCTTAATGTTTGAGTATTTAATGGAATGAGAGAGCTAGGGTTGCCCATCCTCAGACTCTCTCACTCCCTAGCCTCCTGAAAAGCCTACCTTCAACCTCCTTGAGACCTTTGGACATTTTTGGTGACCTTGAAGAGCTTATTTGGTGGTTTTTGGTCATTTAAAGTGGAAAAGGACTCTTATGGTGCTTCATTTTGGCAATCTAGCTTCTACCTCTTGGTCTTGCTGAGCTTTTGGACCCTGTAAGTCATAAAGCTCTCACCTTTTTCCTCATGCATGATAGATCTAGGGTTTGAGAGCTTTCTTTGCATGGTTGGGTTGTGTAGCATGCATAGGATCTGTTGAGTATTTGAGATATTGAAACAGATTTGGTATATTTGGTTATTTAGGGAACCTTTCTAGGGTTAATCACTTTATGATTCCTTATGGTGCCTTTACAGTAGAAGTTCTTAATCGAGCTCTTCTAAGGCATTGATTTTATATTAAGGCATAAATTTTGTATTTATGGTATATATTTATTGTTCCCTGTAAATAATCATTATGTTAGCTTTTGGTGGAAGTTTTTTTTCACCAAATTAGGGTTTTTCTCTATACGTTCATCTCATAATCAATATATGAAAAACCTTTATCAGATTACTTGGATATCATAGTGATTGATTCTTGATTGTTCTTTTCATTTTGCATTCATCATCTTGGATTTATTCCCAACAAGTGGTATCAGAGCGGGTTCTTGTAGATCTCAACGATTTTTGCAAGAATCGATCTTGTTTATGACGTTAGTTTATCTTGAATCTCACCTTGTTCTTTATGTTTTGTAACTTTTCTGAAAAGAAAAAGTCTAATATCTCGTTTTATTGCAAAATCTTGTTCAGATCTGTTATCTTTTACTCATTATTTCATCTTATTTGCTCTTGAATCGTGTTCTGGAAGACATTTAGAAGAAAATTTTCATGTTTATTTGAATTTTCATTTTCAGATCCACTTTTTCTCTCTAAAATCCATCTCAGGTCTGTTTTCTCTCACTAGAAACCTTCTCAAATCCGTTTTCTCTCTCTAGAATTCTTATCAGATCTACTTTCTCTCTCTTCAAGTTCTATCACTTACTGAAGATCTGATGGATGAAACGTATTTATTGTTTGACTCCATTTTAGAACTTGGATTAAAGGTTACTAAACCAATCTATGGTGTTAACAATGTGACCATGTTTCAAATCAGTGGTCAATATATGATGAATGATATTCCTGAATTGTATAATCTTCTTGTTGATACTAAAATATCTGAATACTCATCTGTTAATTACCAGGAGTTAAGAGAGAATGAGAGAATAGTAGAACAATTTCGTATTATCTATGGACATTTAGATCAGGAACATAAACAGATGTTGGAGATGAAAGGGACTGAAAAAGAATAAGAAGAAATTCATCATGTTCTTAGTGAAGTTCATAATGTTTTTCATGGTTCTAAAGAAAAGATGACTCCAGATGTTCTTGTTGAGGGCGAGTCAAGTGGTTCATGTTTTTTTTTGAAGTTTTACAATCTGAATCTTTGTGTTTAGATGATGTTTTTGAAGGATGGGTTCCTTACAAAAAGCCAATAATTCAAGATGTTCAAATTTATCAAACTCCTAAGGATTGTGTTCAAAAGTCTTCAAATGTTCAGATTCAGAAAGAAGAAAAAGTTGTTCAGATCCGAAATTTGTTTCTGAAGCTTAGAAATAAGAGAAAAGGAAGAAGAAGAGAAAGAACAAAAGTAAAATGAAGAAAGTTTGGATGACCAAGGTACAAGTACCCAATGCTTGTGGAAAAGTGAAAGTTGAAGTCAAGCATGTTCAAAGAAACTTTAACTCTCATTTTTTCTTGAGACAAAAATGATAGAAGATGGAAGGTAAAGAGAAGAGAATTTGGTTGGTTTAATGAAATTTATGAAAAATTTTGTTTTCCAACTAAAAAGAGGGTATTAGTTTCAAAAGATGATAGATTCTCTTCAAATAAATGGGTATGCAAGAAACCATCTTCATTCTTGAATTTTAAATGGATACCAAAAGTCCCATAAAAGTTTTTGTCCTAAAAAAAATGAAAAAGGGATAAAATATCGTGAATTCTTATAAAGATTGAGTAAAAAAGGAGAATTTTTGTTGGAGAAATCAATTTTTATTGATCTTTTAATTGTTGAAAATGACAAAAAGTTAAAAGTAAAAAAAGGGTGAAAAAGTGACTTTTCTGCAAAAAGAAGGCTGCAATCTGGCTTTATAGCATAAAGTGAGTTGAAACTGTCAGTTTACTATAACAGAAGGGGTTACTTTCAGATTTATTACCAATAGAGGTTTAGTTTCAGAACATTGAAGATATAAAGGGTTGAATGTGTTACTTCGTTGATTCTCTAGGGATCAAATTTGTAACGTTGATATAAAATTCCAAATTTTCAATTGATCGCAGCGTTATTTTTCAAGGTTTCGTTTGTTCATTTGCAGTCGGCATTGTACAGCCTTTCGGAACGAAGCTTCATTGAACATTCACAGTCATTGAGTCGGAGTTTGGAATCTTTGAAATGGTGATGAAGGACAGCCAAATGTGAACTTCAGACTCAAACTCACAAGAAGCGAAAGTGAGATTCGCATTGGGTTTGAGATTTGAAATGAACCGAAGATTCGCGTTGGATTTGAGATTTGAAACGAACCTGAGATTCGCATTGAGTTTGAGATTTGAAGCGAACCTAAGGTTGCGTTTAGTTACAGAAAAACAATTTTCATTTTCCGTTTTTTGTTTTCCCTTTCCGATTTTCGTTTTCCGTTTTCATTTTTCATTGAAAAATTTAGAAAATGTGTTTAGTTAAACTTATTCAT